GGGAAAAAGATAGCTGGAGCTAACCTTCACCGAAAGTTGAAAATGGCTACTAGGGCCAAGACTCGGGCTAGGCGCGGCTTAGGGGGCTAGGACTTGGCTCGGGGTGAAATTTGCTGAGCTTGGATGAATGGGAAAGCTTAGAATACTCCAGGGAATGCTTTGGACCAGGTGAGCCTCAGTGGAATATGGCTATAACTCGCTGCACCTCGGTGGACTCTCTTCTCGTCCTTGAGCGCGTGCGGGTAGGGGCTAAGGGATGGCTCTCAGTTTTTGCTCTCTTTCTCTCTATATTGTTCGAACTTTAAAGTGTCTAAGGTTCTGAAATGACTGAAGAATGGTGTTTAACTAGATGGAGGGGCGGATTATACAAGGTGGAGTCAAAGGGAGATAAAATGGGTGGACTTCTCTTCACTCCATGAGCATGGGGACTTGGGGCTGCATTGGGGATGACTTGGGTGGACTTTGAGGAGGTTTTCAGGGCATCTTGGTAGGAGACAAAGGTCTGGTCGGGCAGGTGCATGAGTGGGGGGACAAAGATTCCACTTTTGAATAAAATATTCACACGCACATGCACCCACTTTGGCTAAGGACTAATTAACTTTCCTTAATACTTGCTTAGGGCCATCTTAGCGTAAAATAATCTTCATTAAGTCCTTAATACAAGCATGTCTTCGGTCATGAAGGAATTGGGCCGAATTAATGCATATGAGGCTCAAAATGATGGGCTACACATGCTGGCGCTGGGCTGGCGCGAGGCCTGTTGGTCTGGTGCGAGGTCGGCTGGGCGCGAGGCGTAGGGCTGCGTGTCTCCTTGCGAGGGCTCGAGAATGAGGTCTAAGGCTTGGACTAGAAACTTTTAAACACTTAGAAAATTATTCTAAGTATTAACTCAATGCTCGGCCATGACTTGGAAAAATACTCGGAACGAAATTTGGGTTCGAGACCACATAATTTCTCGAGTCGAAAAGATATCGCTTATCAATCCAAATTAATGGATTTATCTTGACCTTATCATGATATAGAAAATTCTAAGGAATAATCTATCATACTTAGGAAATAACTGAGCACTTAGCATATAAATCAAATAACTTAGAATTTCTGAAAAATACGGATTTCACTTATAGTCGAGCAGTGAAACCGCTCTTATATTATTTCTGATCGGGGCGTTACAACCTATCCTCCTTAAAATATTTCCGTCCTCGGAAATACAAAACTAAGGTGCTAGGCCAGAACTCCTACTACAAAACTATATACATATGAACATAAAATAAAATACATGGATACAACTGATACAACTCAAAACTCGAAATCTGGATAACGAGCTCTGATCTTGGCCTCTCTCTCCCAAGTGGCTTCCGACTTGTCCTGGCGACTCCAACAAACTTTGACGAGCTCTATATCTCTGTTCCTCAGCCGACGGACCTTCCGGTCCAGAACTGCTACCGCCTGCTCATCATACGTCAAGTTCTGCCCGACCTCTAACTCATCAAAGTTCACTACGTGGCTCGGATCGTACACATACTTTCTCAACATTGAAACATGGAAGACGTTGTGTACACCCAAGATCTCTGGGGGTAACGCCAGGCGGTAGGTTGTTACGCCAACTCCTTCGAGAATATCAAATGGCCCTATGAATCGGGGTTGCAGCTTCCCCCTCTTGCCGAATCGTACAACGCCCTTCATCGGCATGACTTTCAGGAACACCTTGTCTCCCTGCTCAAACTCAAGCTCCCTTCTATGCTTGTTAGCATAGGCTTTCTGTCGGCTCTGTGCCTCTCTCAACTTCGCTCGGATCTCGGCAACCTTCTATACCGTGTCCTCGATCAACTTGGGACCGAGAACCTGTTTCTCGCTGACTTCATCCCAATAAAGGGGTGAGCGGCACTTGCAACCGTATAAAGCTTTGAACGGTGCCATCTTGATCGACGAGTGATAGCTGTTGTTGTTGGCAAACTCCACAGTAGGTAACAACTCCTCCCATGAACCACCACTCTCTAGAACACAATCTCGGAGCATGTCCTCAAGCGTCTGTATGGTCCGTTCCGACTGTCCGTCGGTCTGTATGTGATATGCGGAGCTAAACTTCAACTTCGTCCCCATGGACTCGTTCAGACTCTCCCAGAAATGGCCAGTATACTGGGGATCTCTATCTGATATAATCTTGACAGGAACGCCGTGAAGTCGAACGATTCCCTGGAGGTATATCTCGGCTAACTGCTCCATGGACATATCCATCCTGACGGGCATAAAGTGGGCCGACTTCGTCAACTGGTCTACTACGACTCATACCGCGTCGTGATGCTGGGACGACATCGGTAATCTCGTGACAAAATTCATGGTCAGCTTCTCCTATTTCCACTGCGAGATCTCTAAAGGCTGTAAGAGTCCTAGTGGAACCTTATGCTCGGCCTTCACTTGCTGGCAAACCAAGCACTTCTCGACAAACCCTGCGACTTCTCGCTTCATGCCCCTCCACCAAAATGACCCTTTCAAGCCGTGGTACATCTTGGTGCTACCGATATGGAGCACTATATGCCTCCGTCAAGATCTCATTTCTCAAGGCCTCAACGTTCGTGTGACGCCCCACTTTTATTTGCCGAAATTCCGAATAAATTTTTCAAATTTATTTCAATAAACACTTGAGTTACTCATTTTCAAACGGTTTATCAATACTTAACCAAATTTTCAATACTCAATCATTCAACAATACTTAAACAATCATCAATACTCAATTATCAATACTCAAATTCGCAATCCAATAATCAAATAATTCTAGGGAGTACACTCCCTATCAATAATCGAATAATCAATAATAAAGAAAGCAATAATAGCAATATTCAGTTCTAGGCGGAAGCAATATCAATTAATAAGACCACCACTCGCATCCCTCCGTCGTGCCCGCAACACTAACTTGCATCCATCAAGAGCAGGTGGGGGTGAGCATAATAGAAAAATCGAGGTGCTCACCGCTATGCAATAATTAATATTCAATAAACAGTAAACAATAGGTATGGTCACAGCATGTATACGAATCAATAATCGTCCCATCTCCTATCAATAATCAATAATGAGTCTCATGTGCACACCTATAGCAATAGACTACAGCCGAACTATATACCGAACGCCTTATCTAAGGCCTTACAAGGAGTGTCCGGCCAGCAGGAAATCCACCCCGAATGCCAAAACTTACGCCTTGGCCTTACATACGAGGATCACCAGCCAAGGCTCACACCCTGACTGCCAACAATAATAAAGGAGACTACCCGAAGGTACGTTCTATAGCTACGGGGATAACCGACGGCCGATACCGCTCACATCGAAGGCTACATGGTCCACATGCATACATTGATCATACCACAACAATAACAATTAATTAAGGCATAGCAATTTCAAATAAAACCCACCTGGTATACGAAGTAGCAATTAGCACACAAGAGCCAGTAGGATGAGAGCACGACTCGTCAAACACCTACATTTATCATGATAGTCCTATCAATAACTATCCCAACACTTAGAACACACATAATAATATTCACTTAGCCCAAATACAGCTAAGTGGTTCGTGGAAATTCCTAATGGAGTTTAGAACTTACGGCCTACCGTCTAGACTCGATAAACCATATAAACATCACTTAGAACACATAAAGCATGGAAAATATAATGATGAGTAAAGAGGAAGTTAACCAAGTCAGAAAAATATCCAGAACAAGACTCGGTTGGGTACTACCGGAAAAATAGACTAGAATTGATAACTACCGGATCTTTCAAAAAGTACTTAGTCATTTTCAAAGAAACTTTACCACATTATAGAACATCCAGAAATACACATATACACTAGATATCAGCCCTTAAATCTCATTTTAACCCAGCCAAATAATTGTTACAAAAATTCAGTTATAATATGAAATTCCTAGTTCCCCAGTCAAACATTCGAATTTTTTCATGAAATTTTGACACAACCAACATAATATCAGAATAATACATTCCTCAAATTTTCACATCAAAATTCATCAAACTTTTCAAGATTCTGACGAGAACTCAAATTCAACATTTCACATTGCTACAGGAGAAGATTTAATCTGAAAATTTTACACAACATACTTCAACATCAGAGGGGTCAACATATGAAATTTCAAGTAATTTGATCGAGTATTCAATTTATCATGATTTTTACAAAATCTAGCAGTACGATCATTGTTTTTTTTTAATTCATAACTCATGAAATTCAAATCGAAATGACCTGAGGCTTTTACTAACATGTCAAGGACACATTAGAGAACTCAAAACTCTTGGGTTTCCATGAAAATAACTCACGTCCTTCAGTTTTGACAATAAATCGAAGAGACGAAAACAATCTGACAAATTACATAATCACATGATGACCAAACATGAAATCAAACATAGGACTTCAATATTTCACATGTATCCATCATATAATCACATATATAAATATAATCTAAGATCATCATATAACGACTCATATCATCTAAAAGACAAGGGATAGCTACGTTACCGTATTTCGGGAATTTACCAGGAAGGTGACACAATTCGATAGTCGGGCCAATGCTCCTTCCAAAACAAATTTTCTTGGCCCACATTTGTATATATCTCTTGGCCCAGTCATTTTCTTGTAGTTCAACTTAAATCCTCAAGACCCAAACTTCAAAATTAGACAAAGCCCACTTAAACCTTACAAGCCCAATTCTTTTCCATTTTTCTTTTTCTTTTTCCCTCTTTTCTCCTCCCTCTTCCCCGTCACTTCATTTCTTCTCCTTCTTCTTTTCTGCCGACTGCAGCACCCTCGAATTCTCTCCCGAACAACAAAATTTCGCCACCCCTTTCTCTCTATCTCATCTCCTTCTTTTGGAATTCATGTCTGTCTCCCGAATTTCAGAAATCAATTTCCAATTTTCAGATTCGAGGATGTCACGGGCTGCGACTACGGGGCGTGGCTGTTTTCAGATTTCTTCCACAGGTGCGGCGATGGTGGCTGAGGGTGGATGTCTGCGGCGGGATTAACGGTTGCACTCTCGATGTTGGCTGGGGCGGCTTATGATGCCCGGTAAAACGCGGGCGGGTCCAGAATGTTGATGCGCATCTCGGGCTTTGCGTGTGGTTATGGGAGATGCTCGAAGATGCCTGGCTAAGAACGGGGGATTTCTGCCAGCCACGCACGGCTGCTGAAAAAAAGAAAATCGAACAGGGCTGCTTCTGCTCGCGGGGTCGTCGGCGATTGCGGCGGATCGGGCGAACGGCTAAGGGTTGCTGCAACTGTTCCGGCTGAAAGACGGGACGACCGCTGCAACGTGTGGTCACTCGCCTCCGTTCGCAACTTTGCACGCGTTGGAAAATTCGGTCAGTTTCGGTGTTCGCGGAGGTTGCTCTGTACGCCGGTAAAAGGGGCTGTCGATGGCAGTCTCCCGGTTATGGCGATTTCTGACTTTAGGTGGCGGAATTCCTCGGAAAAGACCGCCGCTGCTCATTGACCGACGCGAACGGACAGAAGGCCTGCTGTTGAAGGTCGCCGACGAGGATTTCTCGACTGGTTCGTCGGCGGTTCTGTTCGCGAATGGACAAGGAAGGCCGCTGCTCATCGATTCTTGGGTTTAATGGCGCTCGAAGGCTGGCGCTTAAGGATGATTGGAAGTCTGCGCGATTTGGGGAAGAATTTGATCGATATATTGGGGGTGGATGGGTGCTGGGATTTATAACTGAGGAGAGGAGAATGAAGGAAAACCTCTGTTGGCCGAGTCCTATGCGGGTGCGGGGGATGAACGTGATAGAATCTCACTTGAATAATTGGGACAGAATTTTACTTGATAGAATCTCAGAGAAAGCCATTGTAGATGCAGCTTGCTCTGAATGGCTTGAATTCTCTTGTGCTTCATAATTTTTCTACTTTTCTTCTAGCTAGGAGTTCCTCTCAGTAGCTAGAATGTTATTTGTTTGACTTAGGATGTATCCCAGGGCCTCAGTATCATGTACTGCGCAATGGATCAACTCCTAGTCCCTCAATTCCTTCTAGGCCAACCCTGTTTGGTTCTCTTCCCTTTTATCTTTGTCTTGAGTTAGCTTAGTTTCCCTATATTTTTTTAGTCTGTATTTGTATTCTGGTAGCTTAAACTCTTCTTGTGGACTCTGGTTGTTTGTAACCTCTTCGAGGCTTTTATTTCAATGCAATTCTTCGTTTCGAAAAAAAAAAAAAAAAAAGAAAAAGAATGAGAATGAGGCTGCCGTATCCATCCTCAATGGGCTCATAAATTCCATTCTTTGGACCAAAAATATTCTAACTCAATTTGGGCCGAATAGAATTCAATGAAAAATTGGGTCTGGAGCTAATTAATCACTTGGCCTGAGAATAAATTAAAAGGATTGAAATTTATTAGCACATATAGGTCGAAAATAATTCGACTTGAGCCGAAACAAAATTATCCGATAGGTCCGAAAATATTCCCGATAAATTGGGCCGATATAGTAACGTGATAACAAGGACTTCCGATCGATACGATTACACAATTGACGATGGACAATACTAAAATAGCGAGATTTTATTAAATCAATTAGACGAGAACCTCCAATCCAATTAAAATAATAAGACTAACTGAAAATATTGAGCAATAATACAATATAGACAATTAATTCGAATAATAATAATATAATATTGAGAAAATTCTAATAAACGAACGGGGCGGTATAGTTCGGCAGGACAACCCTTCCCTTGTACTCCCAGGCACCATCTGTGCCTCGACCAAAGCCCTCAACTCCTCCAGCTCGGAGCTTCGCCTCCATCGAACGAATGAACTCGTACAAAGGCTGATTCTGCTGGATCTTATCTCGAAGTGTGGGCCACACTCGCAATGAGCTGACATTCCCCCTCGACTCTGGCTGGGGAAGTGAATCGACTACTTCTAGCTGCATCCGAGCGAACTCATGAATCAACTGACGCTGCAGAGTGATCATACAGGTCAGCTCGCCCTTTCCCTTACGGCTGAGGGCGTCGGCAACTACGTTCGCCTTTCCCGGATGATAGTTGATGGTAGTCATCATCTTTTACCAGCTCCAACCATCGCCTTTGGCGCATGTTGAGCTCCTTCTGAGTGAAGATATACTGTAGGCTCTTGTGGTCTGTGAAAATCTCGCATCGGCCGCCATACAAATAATGCCTCCAAATCTTCAGGGCGTGAACCACAGCTGCCAACTCAAGATCGTGAGTCATGTAGTTCACCTCGTGCGACTTTAGCTGACGGGAAGCATAAGCCACAACCCTACCGTCTTGCATCAAAACACAACCTAGACCCTACTTCGAGGCATCACTATAGATAGTGAAACCCTGCGTGGGGTCCAAAATAGTCAACACAGGCGCCGTCGTAAGTCTCGCTTTGAGCTCCTGAAACCTCGCCTCATAACTGCTGCTCCACTCAAACTTCACCGACTTCCTCGTCAAACGTGACAAAGGCAGGGCAATCTTCAAAAACCCCTCGATGAATCGTCTATAATAGCCTTCTAAACCGAGAAAACTCCGAACCTCGGTGGCATTTCTTGGTGTTGACCAATTCCGAACTGCTTCAATCTTGCTTGGGTCTATCTCAATCCCTCTGGATGTGACAATATAGCCTAGAAAAGCCACTCTGTCAAGCCAAAATTCGCACTTTGATAACTTGGCGTACAACTTCTCAAGCCTAAGAGACTCCAAATCGGTCCTCAAGTGCTCTTCATGCTGCTCTGGGCTACTGGAATAGACCAAAATGTCATCAATGAAGACGATGATGAATTAGTCTAAGAATGGATGGAAGACATGGTTCATAGGATCCATGAATACCGCTGGCGCATTGCTCAAGCCAAACGGCATCACTACGAACTCATAGTGACCATATCTCGTTCTGAAAGCTGTCTTGGCCACATCGGCCTCCTTGATCTTCAGCTGATGGTAACCAGAGCGGAGATCTATCTTGGAAAACACGCTGGCTCCCCTCAACTGATCGAATAAATCCTCTATCCTGGGAAGCGGATACTTGTTCAATTTCCGGTAGTCGATGCACATACGCATAGACCCATCCTTCTTCTTGACAAAGAGGACAGGTGCTCTCCAGTGTGAAATGGTCGGTCAGATGAAACCGAGACTCAACAGCTATTGAATTTGAGACTTCATGTAACGCCCCGTTTAATTTTAAAGCATTTATCGAATTAATTAATTAATAAAAATCAGAGTTAGATTTTTTTTTAATTCCAAGTTAAAACCTTTATCAAGAAACGGGCGCTACCTACTAACATCAACAAACATCACACATCCAACAATACAAGGGAACTACACATGCTCGAGCTAACCAATCCCAAAAACATAAGTCTCAAACCATTTCAAAAGGTCTAGCATTATTTAAAGTTCACCCATCTTAACATAGCTCGAAAAATGAAAGCAGTAAACAAATAATCCAAGTGCAATAGTAAATAAATAAACATTCAGTTTATACGGAAGCATAGATTTCAACACATATGACCACCATCTCGCTTGTCCTACGCCACCGCCTCCAGCTCGTCTCATCCTAGCACAAAGGAAGAGAGAAAACAACAAGAAAATAATGGGGGTGAGCATAACCAACAAGCTCACTATTATCGCACAGTTATCCCGCATAATTATTTTAAAAACAGTAACACAATAATCAGTATGCATAGAATCCAACAGTCTAAACCCCCTACCCGGCCCTATCGCAAAACTCCTATGTACATACAACAACCTTCCGACCAAACATCGGCGAGGCCGTAACTGGAAAATTTCCCCCACCCCGAATCACTCACGGATCATGGGAGTCCACCCCGAACTACTCACGGATCATGGATGTTTTCCAGGAGACAGTGGAGATGTTTTTCCCCCCCGAAACTCACACGGATCAGGGCGTCGCCTCCCGGATACAACGGGCAGGTGACCTCTCACTGTTATGCATTCATCAAAGGCACTACCAATAGGAATATTTAGACTAGGGTTCTTACGCATACATTCATTTTCAAAAGAAGAATTATACGAAATAAATAGTGCGATAAATATGGAATACAACAAAAGTGTACCCACCTGATAGCAGCAACAGTTCACAGAATCACAAATCCCGAATGAGGCGAGGTCAATACCTCTAGACACCTACAATATGCCAAGATCCTATAATCAGTATCTACCTCGACTTAAATCGGAAATCACAAGACAGACCTAGTCGAACTCGTTTCGACTAAGTAGTTCGTGAAGTCCTGTGGATGTTGGAACACTAAGACTCGGCACTAAACTCAATCAAACCACATAAGGGAGTTCACATAAATCCATCCAAGTATTGACCAAGTCAAACTCACATCAAAACGAAAAGCAAGTCGATTCCCAAATTTTCATATAACAATCATGCTCGAAAATTGAAATTATTTAATCGCATGAAAATAGATGGTCAAGCTACCCTACGAATTAAGCTCTGAAAATTTACCCAAAATTTCATCTACAAGAAACATGTAAAACCACAAAGTTTCAGCTTTAAACTCAAAATACCCTATTTTATAAAATTCAAACAGTATATCAGCAAAATGGGCACATTAATTCATACTCAGACTTAATGAATGAATCTGATCTTGAAAATTTTACACAACAACGTACAGTATGCCAAAGCCCACTTATAAAAATTTCAGCCTTAAATGATAACTGTTGCTATTTTTAAAAATTCAAACGAGCAACAGCAGTTTATCGAATTTAAACCCAAACTGAATCAAAACGGACTTCAAAAATTCTCATATTTTACAAACATGATTAAACACACAAAATAGGCCTCTCAGTAAAATTTCAGAATTTTTCATGCAGTAACCAATTTATACAAATTGAAACAACGTTTCTGCAGATATGATAAATAAAATATTTATCACATCAAATCAACTCCAAAAATTCTAAAAATTTAACACAACACATATAAGTCAAAGAGGCACGACATATCCGAATTTCAGCTCATTTCAGTCAGGCATGAATTTTTTATGCATTTAACAATATTCAGGACAGATTACAATTTAATTATTAAAAATAGCTACAGGCCTCCAAAAATTATGAAAATTTTACACAAGGCAGGAAATGAACAGATAACACATCCCTCAAAATTTCACATCGTTTCGAGCAGCGAGCTATTTTTAAAATTTCGAACACCGAAACAGCGATTCACAAGCTCGACAACTTGGCAATTAAATCACAACATAAAATTTCTCGTCCGAGGCCTTTTCATAAGACCAAGGACTCGACATTGTTCCAATATCCACCGACTTACACGACTTTCGAGGTCTCGTTCGATTTTTAGAAAATCGAAGGGATCCCGAACATACGAACACATAAAATCATAACAATTTAATATGTACATCATCACGATTACATCCGAACACTTCAATCAACATGAACACACCAGGCACATCCGATCATAATATTATTCATGTAATATTAAACGAGAAGTCGAGACTCGGTACCGTTCTCGGAAAAACGAGCGAGAAAGGATCGTACGGGGCTCGACGGCACAAAAAACGCGACGGCAAGCGGCAAGGCTCAGCGGCTGCTCGGGCTCGACGGCTGCGCTCGGCTCGCCGGTGAACTCCCGGAAGGCAGCAGC